TATACTGATTGAGTTAGTAGCAAGTATTCTATTCTCACCTGCCATTATTTTGCTTTTTATCTTGGATGTGTGAGAACATGTTGTCCTTCACTTTGTGTATCTAGATATTACACAGAAAGTGTCTTCTGGTACCACCTCAGTTATAGCCAGTATAAATCTTTTGACATTAAATATTACAAAATACTGATTGGATCTCTGAGGCCCAGGGTGTACCCAGAACACTTGGACCCAGGTCTTTCATGTGAGGTGCTCTGTGTTAGGAATGTCCACACTTCCCATGTTTGTTAATTGGAGTCTTGGATCCAAGGTTCAGGAACAAACCCTGCCTCAGCATTTTCACACAACCATTTGCTTGAGAGCCATAAGAAGGAATTCTGATTAGAAAAACTGGTTGATTTAGAATATAAAAGCATTGCCCTGGACTTTCTTTCTCTTTCCTTCTCTGATGGCTCTCATATGATGACAGAGAGAATGAAGGGCAGATCTAGAAAGGCTTTATAGTTTGAAATCCTAGGGAAAAGAAAACACTTGCTAGTTTTCGTCATGTTCTAGCAATTACCAGGTCCATCCAGCACACCCCACTAAACCCCTCCCCAAGGACAGATGAACCCCACTTGGTTGTACACTAACTCTGCATCCGCATTGCAGAAATCTGGATAAATAATAAAGAAGAAGTTGTTCATCAAAACTTCCCAAATAGGACAGAACTTTATGCCACTTATCTAGTATGTGTTTTTTAGGTCAGTCTCGAGGAACTAGGTGAAAAAATGAAGTGCCCACTTCATCAATGCATTGACAAAGCAAAGGTGGATATTCAAAATAATCCACACAAGACACACGTTCTCTCACTGTAGATGTATATGATCATATTCTCCTCTCCCAATGTTGTGTAAGATATCTTTACAAAAAGAAATGGATTTCAAACAACACACACACACACACACACACACACACACATACGCACACATGTTCTATCTCATATTTGTCGTTTGGACATTGGTCAGTGCCATGGGCTCCAAGATGAGTTGTTCTCTAAGATATTGAATTTACAGCAGAAAACCTCTCCAGCATGGTTGGCAAGTCAGTACTGGTGTTGGAAGAAAGTGTGAGACAGGCTGTGACCTGAGTTCAGATGTGCAGAGTACAACCATCCATCCTGGATTAGGAGGAGGGATCATCATCACCCTGTCTGAAGCAGAGTAGGTTTTTGTCGTGGATAGATGGTTACATTATAAACCAAAACGTGTTTTCCAAGAGAGCCGCCCATACATATTTTTTTTCTACAATATAAAGGGCCTCGGTTTTTTCCCTGTAGTTCCCTAACAAGACTCACAATTCCTTAATGTATGGAACCGTAGATTCCAGCGTGAACATCTGCCTTAGTCCATTTTGTCTTCTCTAATATTACACCACATACCAAGTTATATAATAATCATATGATACACAGCAGATGGTACCAATTCCTTGCATTACTGGGGACTCTGAAGTCTGAGATAAAAGTGTCAAAAGGTTTACTTTGTGGTGATGGCCCATTTCCTGGCTTATAAAAGACATTTTCAGAAAATTTCAAAATCTGGTAAAAGGGAAAAGTGGTTCCCTAAGCCTCTTTCATAAGAGAACTACCCTATCCCTGGGGCTTTTCCCTTTTACCCCAGTCACCTTCCAGAAGACTCCGCTTGTGCATGACATAACCATCGGGAGTATGATTTCTATACATTAATTTTAGTAAGACTTAAGCATTCTGACAACAGTATCATCTAGTAAGGATAAAATCAAATAGTAACACTTCTGTTCTTGGAGACAAATACAACATGTTGACATGGGTGGGATTTTGCTACTGGATAAGAAATGACCAAGTTCATGCTCAAGAGAAGTGAGGGCAAGCCTGCTTTCTGATAGCAGTTTCAAAGGATGTGAGGTCACCTCAAAGCTCTGTTTTCCCTCTTAGAGAATGAATGGTGGAATGCAGCATGGAATGTCCATTCTGATCAAGCTGGGTCTAACATTGTCTTTATACCTGGCCAGTACTAGTTTAAACATAATGCCTCTGTGCACACATCACTTGGTAGACTAGTTAATTCCAATCACTCTGCCATCTGTCCTGCCAGGGGGACATTCAGAAGACATTATGTCTCAAGGAA